CTGCTGCAATATGTATGGTAGCTAGTAGATGGTATCCTAATTATTATTATTATTTGAGTTAACACATTTCTTGCTCAGCTATTTTATACTTTATGTCTTCTTTTGTAGTGGCGTTTAGCAACAAAACTCTCTCTTTCTAGAATATCTACCTAGGGCTTTCTTTAAAAATATATCACTGCAATGAGAGGAGATTTATATCTGTCTACTGTGCTAATTTCATTTTCACTGAGCAGAAAACTAAAGCTGATGGTCCTTCAGTAACATCCACATCCATTTTTTGATAGAGTGCAATGGAAGGACATCAGGGTACAGCTGGCTGGGGATCTGCCTCACATGCTGTGCTTCTCTTTCTCTTTACAACTGGTTGTTCAGGCATGAAGCAAGAATGCTTCCAAAGAGCACATTCACACATTGATGGAACATAAACTTTATCACATTGTTTAGTAGTATGAACATCCAGGCTGTGAGTCAACCTGAGGGCACCTTGGCTAGCTTTTACTTTTTTTTCCCCTTTTGCAAGGACAAATTGTGTTATTGAACATTGCACAGAGCTCAGGAATAAGCCAGTAGCCATACCTGACAGATGCCTCATCTCACTTAGAAGGAAAAATGCATGCATTTTTTCTCTTTGTCATACAGTTCTGTGTGAAATGTAGAGGAATTTCGATATAACTTGCTAATGTCTCATTTTACATTAATTAAAAGCTAATAGGAATTTTGAACTCTACTTAATGCATAAAATTAGAAGGCAGACATGAGACAGATGGTAGCAGTAGAAACTCTGTCCCTTCCATCCTTCAATCCATCAAAGTGGTCCAGTGCTAGATGGGGAAGAACACACTGATCAACAAAAGAATAGATCATTCTTCACACCTACTCAGTGCATGTCCATTTCATTGAGATTTGACACCAGAAATATTGAGAAAAATACTAATATGGTGTATTAATTTACAATTGTTTATTTACCCTATTTTCCTAAAAATATTATATGCTGTTATCATGGGCATAACAAGGATTTTGAAAAGGGGAGTGCAGATTATCACAGAACTTTGGCTTCCACAATCACAGTCCGCTCTTTGGTGAGAGAGGCAGTGGTCTGCTGAAAAGAGACAGCCTCCACCTCACTGCACTGGGGAGAAAGCTCTTCTCTGCCAGAATGGCTGACATGCTCAACTGGGCTTTAAACTAAGCCTGCCAGGGGATGGGGGGGACTACCACCACAGCAAGTCCACTGGACAACTTTTGTAAATCCAGCAGGCTAAGGCACTCAAGGGAACCCACCCCTACCCCAGCCCCAGAACAATGTGTAGGGAGGGGAAGATTAGGGCCTCCAATAGGACACTTATGTCCTTGTATACCAATGCCAGGAGCTTCCGGAATAAACAGGAGGAACTGGTCCTCCTGCTAAACAAGAATGACTATGATCTCATAGGGATAACAGCAATGATTGGCAAGTCAGTCAGCAATGCAGACATCCTTGACTTCAGGAAAGCTGACTTTGACAAGCTCAGGAGGCTTGTTGGCAAGGCCCTAAGGGACCACAACCTGAAGGGGAGGGGAGTTCAGGATGAGTGGTTGCTCCTCAAGGGGGTGATCTTGAAAGGACAAGCAATGTCTATCCCATCTTGGAGGAAAGGTAGCAAAAGGGCACAGAAGCCCCCTTGGCTCTTCAGGGAACTTGTGGACCTCCTGCATCTAAACAGAAAGACTTATAATGGATGGAAGACTAGAACCACCTCAAAGGAAGAGTATTCTGCACTGGTCCGGACCTGTAGGGAACGAACCAGGAAAGCCAAGGCTGCGACTGAACTCCAACTGGCTACACGTATCAAGGACAATAAAAAGTCCTTTTTTAGATATGTGGGAAGCTTGAGGAAAAGCAAGGGTAACATCGGACCCCTGCTAAACCAAATGGGAGAACTGACAACTGACATGCAGGAAAAAGCCAACCTGCTTAATGGATATTTTGTGTCAGTTTTTCACCAGCCCCAAAGGACAGCCCTGCTCAATATGGTATGGGACAACCAAGGTGAGGGAGAATTATTGCCCTACATCAATGCAGACCATGTGAAGGAACACCTTGAGAGGCTGGACACCTTCAAGTCAGCTGTCCCAGGCAGTTTACACCCCAGAGTACTTAAGGAGCTGCTAGGCATCATAGCTCGGCCATGGTCACGGATCTTCAAGAACTCATGGTGCTCAGGTGAAGTGCTCAAAGACTGGAAGAAGGCCAATGTGGTGCCTATCTTCAAGAAAAGGAGGAAAGTAGATCCGGGGAACTACAGGCCTATCAGCCTGACCTCTATCCCTGGGAAGATCTTGGAAAAAATTATCAAAGAGACCGTTCTTGACCATTCTTGGCTGATGGCAACATCCTGAGGGATAGCCAGCATGGGTTTGTTGTGGGTAGGTCTTGTCTCACCAATCTCATTTCCTTCTATGACCAGGTGATATATCACCTGGACAAGGGAGAAGAGATTGGCATCATATATCTTGACTTTAGAAAAGTCTTTGATCTGGTGTCCCATGATCTCCTCATGGAAAAATTGGCCAACTGCAGTGTTGGCTATATCACAGTCCTATGGCTGGGGAATTGGCTCTGAGGTCAGACCCAGAGAGTGGTAATAGATGGAAGTAAATCATTGTGGTGCACCGTGACCAGTGGGGTCCCATCCTTGGGCCTATACTCTTTAATATCTTTATTAATGATGTAGAAATTAGTATCAGAAGTGGACTGGCCAAGTTCATCAATGACACCAAGCTTTGGGGTAAAACTTCCATACCTAAGGATAGGCTGGTGATCTAGGCCAACCTAGACAGGCTCAGAAAATGGGCAGAGGAAAACCTGATAGCATTCAACACCGAAAAATGCAAGGTACTCCACCTTAAGGGAAAAAAACCCACAGCACGCTTTTTGGCTTAGCAGTGCTATGCTTGCTAGCACCATGGCCGAAAGGGACTTGGGGGTCATGACTAACCACAAAATGAACATGAGCCACCAATTCAATGCCACAGCTGGTAAAACGAGCAAAACTCTGGCTTGCATCTATAGATGCTTCTCAAGCAAATCCCAGAATATCATCCTCCCATTGTACTCAGCCTGGGTGAGGCTGAAGCTGGAGTACTGCATCCAATTCTGGGCTCCACAATTTAAAAAGGATGTTGTAAAGCTTGAGAGTGTCCAGAGGAAAGCCACATGCATGATCAGAGGGCAGGAGAACAGGGTCTATGATGAGAGGCTGGGAGCCATGGGACTCTTCAGCCTGGAAAAGCATAGGCTCAGGGGGTACCTGGTGGCTGCCTATTAGTTTATAAGGGTGTACATCAGGATCTGGGTGAATGCCTGTTCACCAGAGCACCCCAAAGTCAAGAGGTCACAAACTCCTCCAAGACTGTTTCCAGCTGGACATAAGGAAAAACTTCTTTACTGTCTGAGCCTGGAATAGAATGCCTCTAGAGGTGGTGCAAGCATTTACTCTGGACTCCTTTAAGAAACATTTGGATGTTTATTTTGCTGGGATCCTTTGACTCCAGCTGACTTCCTGACCCTGGGGCAGGGAGCTGGACACGATGATCTTCTGAGGTCCCTTCCAGCCCTAATGTCTATGAAATTTATGAAATCTATGATGTGGTACATCATCCCGTATAATATAACACATTTTTCTCCAGTTAAAAATAAATTAAATGCTTTACTGATATGCTAGAGGCCAAAGCTATATTATTCTATTTAAAATGGAAGCAAAAGCAAATATAACTTGATTGGAATGGCAGTATAAGAGTGGAGCTGTAGCTGTGGAATGTGTATTCATTTGCTATTAAGTACGAAAACACAACAAACTAGGCAAAAAATGATCAAAAGATGGTGTTTCATTAGTCCTGTAGTAATTAGAGTGAAATGTACATCTCATTTAGATTCATAAAATAAAGTCAGGCCTCCCTCATCATTTTGGCAGTGCATCCAGTGCTTCAGTGAAAGTTATTTCCATACCTTAGTTAATGTTTTTAGCTACAGTTAAGAACAATATGTAATGCTGTTAATAGCTGCATTAAAAGGATCAGTTAAGAGACAGCAGAATTGAAGAAGAAAGGATAGCTTGATTAGTGGAACATCAAGACTATTAAAAGGAGGGAGAGGGATATTAACACCTGCAGAATGAAGTGTTTAGAATTTATAATGAGCTAGAAAGTCAATTAAGTGCCTCACTGCTATCTGAATAGAAATGCTGCTGCCACTGTCGTTTTAAACTTCGGGTAGCCCAGGAATCAAACAAGAATGCAACTGCATGAGTGTACCCCCTTGGATCTGCCCCTTACTGCATTTCACACATACCACATATTCCCACATAAAAAAACCTTGTTTGGGGATGGAAGAATGAAGAATAAAAAGGGGGTGGGGTTGTTTTTTTTACAGCAGTATGGCTGCAAGGAGGAGGGAAAGAACCTTAACTTCAGCTTACTCTCACGACCTTTTCCCTGTTCACAGCTGAAATGAATTGTTTGCCTGAGTGAGATGAATATTAGACCCTGTTTATGCTCTAATTCATCCCTGAAAGGGTTAACATTGTAACTACTGCTGAAGACTGGATTAAGCCCCTGCCTCCATGTGGGGATTGGAGAAAGAGAAGTAAAAGAAGCAGCAGCCATTTTACAGCCCTGCTTTTATTCTGGGAGGAAATTGGCTTCCTTATTTAAGATGCACACCTCAATATTGGAGGACTAAGTTCTGGGGAAAAGGTGCATGTGGTACATAAGTAATTATAGCAATTTACACTTGTCTACAAAAAATATGCAATGAAATTATGCATTCTACATTGTCCTAATTTTGCCTTTTTCTGCAAATAAAATTGAAATGTAAGAACAGCAATGACTTGTTATGGAGAAGCCAAATTGCTTTTTCTACATTAGATTAATATTACAATTGGAGAGATCAATTTTTGTCTTATGTCTTCAAGAATAAGCAAGAACATATATAATTGTTTAAACTGTTCTATTCATTTTAGGGTGAACTTCAGAAGGCTAATAAAAGGCCAACACATCAATTAAGCATCATCTCCTCCTTTAACTCTTTTTGGTGAGTGTTAGTTACCCAAGTACATTTGACAATTTGGGCATGCACGTCTGAAGAGACATATTGATTCAACAATACATAAGCTGCTTAGGAAACAGGTGGTTATTGATTCTCTGAAGAAGATACTTGTCTTCTGAACAGTCTATCCTGGTAGCATTTCAAGTGAATATTCAAAGGACTTTAGTGGTTCCCAGCTAAATGAGTAGTGTTGTATATATGCACTCTTCACAGACTTGGGATGTGTTCATATTTCATCACTGGTTTACTTTCTGCTAGGTAGTAGCACCTATGGGTGACTGATGCCACCTTACTCAGGGGGAAAAAGTGTCCCCGCATGACCTGGATGGGTCCCCCCCCAGCCAGTCTCACTCATCAGCTTCCAGAAGAGGCCATGGCGCTTCCAGGAGTGGCTGAGGTGCTCCCACTCCCTGGCCAGTGCTTATGGGGGGGGAGGCACCGGCACTCCCGCCGGTTCCCCCTGCCCATCACCTAAGCAGGGAGTGTGGCCTGTCAGGGGGTGCATCAGCACTCTCAGGGGGTGCACATGCACCCCCATGCACCCTGTAAGAATTACCACTGGTAGCACCTAAAGTATAGAATGAGAGCTGTCATTTTAATGAAGATGTATTAGTCCTTAAAGTCTTCTGTGAGTTTATATTGCAGATTACATACAATGCAGAGAATTGTAAGTAATGCTTCAATGCAATTTTCCACAGGAGGCCATGAGTAGATATGGTTGCTATTTGAAAAACAAGAGCTACTTAGAGCCCCACTGGTAACATCAAAGCATTCGTACAAATCCACCACAGGCTACATGATTGAAAACTGTCCCTAGGATAACTTTTTAGAAGGATAGATATAGAAAATCAGAGAATCATTAGACAAAAACTTTCTTTATTCAATTGGAGGAGAATGTTAAAAAGGTTAGGGAAGTCAGAGAGAATTCTAGAGTACACAACAACATGGCCTTATTTTCCATCCCTTTTTATGCATTTGTATAATAGATCTCTTTGACCATTTTCTTTACCCACTGACATCTGGAAGGAAATCAAGTATTCATAACCTTTCACTACTTCAGAATCATTGTCTACAAACTATATATATAGGCTTGGGACTTTTAGATTGATCACAACTTCTTAAACAAAGGATTTACTACTTGCTTATGCCAGATCCTTTTGCAGGGCTCTGGCAGTTAAAAGCAGCCTTCCTGTGAGTTTAAGTGTCAGTTACTTGCTGAGGCATAACAGGACAACTCCATACCCTGCACATGGCAGTGCTAGCTGCTGCACTGGCAGCAATGGTGATGTAGCCAGCCTCCATTTGTGGCAATTACTATTTTTGTGCCCTGCCCTCCCCCTCCCCCCCCCCCCAAAAAGAGGGGGAGGCTGCTGCTGACGTTATTCTTTCCCCTCCAACTTAATTAAACTATTGGTTATTTGTACTTTAAGGGCGCATCCAGATGAACCCAGCAGTGTGGTATGTGGTGCTGCAAACCGGTCCATAGCACCACATACCACACAGTCCAGTGTTCTCCTTGCTACAAAGGTGCACTGGATATCTAGGGGTCAAAAAAAAAAAAACCTGTGGGGGGCAAAAAACCAAACAAATGAGCAGCACAAACTCAGGCAGCATGTGCTGCTGAAAAGTGGAACAAGGCCACCCAGAGCTAGGTTTTGCTGCCAGCCAGGCTCTGCCCGGCAGGTTCACCACAGCTGTAGCTGCAGGAGGTCCCAGGACCCTAAGTAAGGCTGCTGGGGCCAGCAATATGCTGCCCCCCATCTCCCCTACTGCCCCAGGGTAACTTGCCATATACCAGAGCACATGTAGCACAGGCATTCCCCAGGGACAAGTAGCGGTGGTGCAAGGTGCACTGCTGCTACTTGTCCCCAGGGAACGAAACATCCACACTTGTCTGGATGCACCCTAAGGGCTTTTCAGGCTTTGCTGTTAGGCTGATTATGGCACCTTACTATGGATCCAGAGGTTTGAGTACAGGCCTCATTTTTTAACTTGTCTCAGATGCATGCCCTGACTCATTCACAATAGGGTATCTTGGCATTCAGGCTGGCAAGGCAAAACAATGTAATGCAACTACATTATTCTCTTGTGTACAGCTAGTTACAGAAGCTAGTGTGTCTTAAACATCCTAGCCCAATGGGCCTCCAGGTTTGCGTGGATTACTGTCTTTTTTTAATGGCCTGTTCACACTTCTAAAACATCTAAAACAATTAAAAACAAGTTTAAATTCTGATCTCAAGTGAAGTCACACAACAAAACATTGTGCAGGGGACCTTTAGAGATGGTCAGGAGTGTGGCAAATAAGTTTGTTACAAATCACTGTTGCAACAACTATGAATAATGCCATGGATCCCCTTTCAGTTACACAAACAGGAGAAGACACCTAAAACAGTTGCTATAAAGCAATTGACATGCATTAACTCCTCACAGCTCATTTACTTTTACCATGGTATAAATGTACATCTGTCCTTTTAAGGAAATAGAAGATTTCGTTTAGTAAGGTCTTCAAGCTTTTGCCTCTATCTAGAAGGGATGTATGAACAACAGTATTGTGACTATTGATGACCTCGTACAGCATATTGTATAGTAACATAAATTTGAATGATGTACATTATGAAAGACATGCTTGGTGTCATGAATAATATTTCCTTAAATGCTTGTTTTTATCTTTCAAGGAAAGTGTGTCTTGCTTTGATCAATTATATGGTAATGATATTGATCTAGAAACGATGCAACCATAAAGCTTTTAGCATTTTTCTTGGTAAAAACAAACAAACAAACAAACAAACAAAAACAAACCCCCAAAATATGCTGTGATATCCTGAGTAGATACCCGGATTTTTTAATTCAACTGATGAAGCTATTTATGCATTTATGAATCGAATTATGGACTACAAGTCATTGTGCCAGTATCACATAATTATGAATAATAGCAGTTCTCCCTCAGTTTTCCTGTGTACAAATTGTACTATACTAAGAAATACAGGTAATTAGTTATGCTACTAATTAAAAAAAAATATATTAAATACATTAATGTATCCTGCAGGAGGGTAGGCACTGAGCATCCAAGCTGGGGCAGGCAGGTGGATGCCCCTGGAAACTTCAGGAGCAGGTGGGGTAAGGCTAACTCTCTCCCTGTTGCAGATAGAGGACATTAGAAATTCCAGAACAGGGAGTGGGGTGTTACCAGCATCATGGGGTGTCTCCTGGAAGCCCCTGGTAAGTTCAAGGTCATGGGGGTGGGTTGGCCAGTGCAGCCCTGATCAGTCTGGAGCAGGGGCTGCACCCAGCTGTAGTGAGACAGAGAGATCAATGTTCTGGGACCCATACCTACCATTCTTTCCATCCATCTATTCATCCACTTGCAGCTAGACCCTCACTATGGAGAGATGATGGATCTCATCACCAGCTGGGGCAAAGAGGAGACCAAGTATCAGCTCCACAAAGGGCACTGTAAGAGGGATACATTCAACCACGTTGTGCAAAAGATGCAAGTGCAGGGCCAAAGCAGAGATCGGGTACAGTGCCAGGCCAAAGCAAAATGGATAAAGATCCAGTACAAGTACATGCATGATGCCAACAGAAAGTCTGGGGCCAGGAGGCAAAGCATGCCTTCTACAAGGAGATGCCCTGCTTCCTTGCTATGGATGGGGCCATTGCCACCCCACATATGTACAGCGCCACCAGGGGGAAGGAGGAGTCACTGTCAGGGACACTACTGGAGGAGGAGGTGCAGGAAGGCCCTAAGATAATGGATCAACTTAGTGCTCAGGAGCAGGTCCCAGGGGGCCACACAGATAACAGTGGCCCCTGAGGAATCCACCCCATTAGTGCTGGTCTCCAGATCATCACAGGATCTGGGAGTGGAGTTGCAGCTGGACCTGAGATTCCGTGACATATTCTTGGGCATTGTCAAGAGCACGAAGTATACAGTGGAAGAGCAGAGGGAAAGTTACAGTGCAACAGAAATTGAGACAGGATTTCAAACCCAAACCCATGCCCTCTACCTCACAGAAGCCCTCCCCTGGTCCTCACCCCATGGACCATGACCAAACACAGGGACCTCAGACACTGTTCCTGGAACAGCTGCTACCAGTCTTGCACTACCACTCTTTTGACACCTCCTCACTGCCCCGCTTCCAAATGTTCAGAGTGCTCCCAATCCCCTCTGCCTCAACTACTGGTGCAGTGACCTCTGCTGCAGTATGACCCAAAGCACTCACACCCAGTCTTCCCCACAATTCTGGTGAAGACCCAGGCACCAATCAAGGACACTGAGTTACCCAGGATAGTATGGCTCTACCCCAGTCCACATGGCTGTAGCAGGGACCCAGGCACTGGGAGAAAAGGGAAGCATATGGGGGTAGGGGGGAAAAGAGGCATGGACAGGCTCTACCTACAGCCAGAGGGATGAGCAGGTAGCAGAACAATGATGCTCCATTAGTGTAGTATTGCAATGACTATAATTGCTTTGATTGCTTATATTGTTATTTTTCTTTTTATATAATGAAATAGTTAACCATTAAAATAAAGTTAGTCTTGCTTTAATCTACTTTTCATAATAATTTGATCAGTCATTATTGGTGTTCTGGAATTAACCATCTATTTTAAATTTCTTATTTCTTAGCATATTGGACACATTGGTCTCATGATTTTAGACATATTTGACCGATTGTTTAATGACTTTAGAACTTAAATTTAGTATAAGAAAAAGGCTTGTGTAAGGGTTTGTGGTATGTCTGGTGTATGTGGAAAGACGTAATGAAAGAGTGAATAACGCATGCATGTGACAACATGAAGGAAGACAGTCCTCTTGCAGCAGGCGAAAACAGCCTTCTGTGGTTTAATGGTTAAAGGCTGTAGCGACATCGAATCAGCAGTTAAGGATTACTAAATACTGGATCATGCTTCACTCTGATGTCTGAAGACTGCAAGCAACAGCCCCCCTTAAGATTGCAGACCACAAAGCCAGAAGATCATGTCCTGGTGGCAGGCTGGGATTGGTAGGATAAGGAGGATGACCTTTGCATCTGACTCAGCAGAATCCATAGGCTTGTATGGACAGCTATTACTATAAAGAATGAACATACAGACAAGGCTTTGGGTCTTTTCCACCTGCAAGAAGGAGTTTTGGGTGCATCCAACAAGACCTGACTCCATCACTCTCGTCAGTCTGTCCAGCCACCAGACTGACCAGAGCAACTTCAGAACTTGGTAACACCTTAACCTTTGCAGGACTGTCTAGCTATCTGTGTGTGCGTGCTTGTTTCTTTTAAACGAATGAATGAATGAATGAGTATGTATGGGAAATAAGTGAAGCAAATAACCTTACTGTTCTATATTCTTTTCATGTTGCATGTTTTATGTTCCACTAAATGTGGCATTGTGCCTTATCCCCTGATAAGATTCCGGCTTGTTTTTAATTCACACTGTACGCTCTATGTGCACAACACTAGCTCAGAGTCTTCTGTGCAAGCCTGTTTTCAGAAGGCAGGCACTGGACCCTACCCACTGGCCACTCGTGCTCCCCCAACCCCTGGGAAACCAATGAACTGTACAGGCCATCCCAGCAGTCACAGCCCTCTTCCAGGCTGTAATGGCCGAGAACCCCAGAAGGGGGAGCATGCCATGCAGGGATATAGGGGCATGGTAGGACAATGTATTGGCCCACCCTGACCACTTAAAGTGCAGGGCCCCAGGCCACCAATTGCTCAAGAGGTTTCTGCCTTTCATCAGTGAGCAAACCAGGCATGTCTTCCTCTCCTCTCTCTCCCTTCCTGGGCTGCAATCAAGGTGCCAGCCCCTCTCCTCACCCTCCAGCCCATCTCCCATTCTTAGTTTCATAGTTTCATAGTTTTAGGGTCGGAAGGGACCTAATAGATCTTCTAGCCCGACCCCCCGCCAGGGCAGGAGAACAACAAAAGAACCCTAAACAAAAAACGGGACTCAAATGAGTCCAGCCAGGTAGGTATCCAGCCTCTTCTTAAAGATCCCCAGGGTAGGGGCCAGCACCACCTCCCTTGGAAGTTGGTTCCAGCTCCTAGCCGCCCTAACTGTGAAGTAGTTTTTTTGGATGTCCAATCTGTACCTCCTCTCCATCAACTTGTGCCCATTACTCCTTGAGTAATGGGCACATTATGTACTGTGGGTACATAAAGCTGCTTCATTATTAACACTTCCCTATTGCCCTCTCTCTTAGGGCCATGCTCAGCTACTGGGAGAGGCTGAGCCTCTTCCCAGAGTGGTGACATTGAAACAGCCCTCCCACCACCTCCTTACACTCATGGAAAGGCACTAAAAGAGTTCACTGAATTCTGCAAGCAGAGAGAAGAAAGGAGGTACAAGTGCCAGTGCTCTGCACCCTACCTGGGTGGGCAGCATCATGGGACTGGGTGACAGAGAGGTCAGGGACAGGTGATAACATGCAGCTATCTATGAGAACAACTGAAGTTTCAGTACAGCAGAAACAATAAAAAAATATCCCCTTACCAAACAACCCCTTTTCCTCCAACTCTCCCTCCCTCCCAGTCCAACAAAGTCACATATGTGGTGGCAGGGGAGCCATTTGAATCATAGGTTAGGGTTGGAAGGAACCTCGGGAGATTTCATAGACATTAGGGCTGGAAGGGACCTCAGGAGATCATCAAGTCCAGCCCCCTGCCCCAGGGGCAGGAAGTCAGCTAGGGGCAAAGGATCCCAGTAAGATAGGTGTCTAAATGTTTCTTAAAAGAGTTCAGAGTAGGTGCTTGCACCACCTCTGGGGGAGTCCATTCCAGGCCTTGGACACTAAATAAGTTTTTCTTTATGTCCAGCCTAAAACACTCTTGGAGGAGTTTGTGACTGTTTGACCTTGTCATCCCTTGGGGCACTCTGGTGAACAGGCATTCCCCCAGACCCTGATGTACACCCCTCATATACTTATACGCAGCCACAAAGTCACCCCTGAGCATGCATTTTTTCAGGCTGAAGAGTCCCATGGCTCTCAGCCTTTCATCATAATGCCTGTTGCCTTGCCCTCTGATCACAAATGTGGCTCTCCTCTGGACTCTCTCAAGCTTTTCCATATCCTTTTTTAAATTGTGAAGCCAGGAATTGGATGCAGAACTCCAGCTGCAGCCTCACCAAGGCTGAGTACAGCAGGAGGATGACATCCTGAGATTTGCTTGAGAAGCATCTGTGGATGCAAGCCAAAGTTTTGCTCACTTCACCAACTACGACCTTGCATTTGTGGCTCATATTTGTCTTGTGGTCAGTTATGACCCCCAAGTCCCTTTCAGCTATGGTGCTAGTGAGTGTAGCACTGCTAAGCCTATAAGCGTGATGTGGGTTTTTGCAGCTCCAACACCCCCGGCCCAAAGCTGGGCCATTCTCAACTAGATAATTACCTCAGCCTATCTAGAGAGACTTGTAAGTGACACTCCAGCCCCTTCCCCTCATCCATCTTATCCTATCCTCAGGAAAAATCCATGGGTGCCAGGTGACTCCAAGTCTCATGGCATAGCAGTCACTGTACTGACCCCTCAAGCATCCCCACTGCCCCCCTCCTACAATCACAGCCCCATCCCAGTCCCAGAAAGCATTCCCATCCCACTGCAGAACCTGAACGTGAAGTGACCCCCAGCCCCAACCTCTTCCAGTCTATTCAAAACAGAATGATACTGGAAAGCCAAAGGTGGTACATAGTGACACGGGATGGGGTCCTTAAGGCTGGCCGTGTTCTCCTAAGGCCCCTTGACCGTGCCAATTTGGGCCCGATGAGCACCCTCAGTTCTCGCCCACCACATCTTTGATGATAAATATGAAATTAGGGAGGCTGCCTTTAAGTCCTTTTGGACACAGTTTGATGGCCTTACTGAACCCTGTGGCTTCCCAGACCCCTTGTGGGTCTTGCTTCACAATGGGCGTTTCGGGGTCACCCTAGCCTTATGGGCTGTGTGTGGCTCCAGCTGCCTCTTTACCATGCCCCAAGCCTCGCAGATAGTACCAGCGTTGTTTTGCCTTGGCCTCGTAATTCAGCCCCTTGTCCTCATTGGGCTCTCTGCAGCCCTGTCCCTATGCCCTCTCTGGTGGCAGGGTCTCCGTGCCCCAAATGCCGTGCCCTCTCCAGTGCCGGGGCCTGTACCCCAAAATGCTGCACCCTCTGGCACCGGGGTCCCCACACTACAGTGGGCCCCCAATGAGGCCTCCTCCTTCCCCAAATAGCCTTGCCCAAACCACCAGTGTTATAAAACTACAAACAAAACATAAGCCCCTGGGCTATAACTTAACATAGCTACCAAAGGTGTGCCCTGCCCCTTTACCATTACCCGGAGCAGAGGTTAGTCAGGCCTCTTTCAC